ACAGGCAACTACTGATATGCAAGATGAGAGCTCATGGCTGCTTTTTCTTTTCATTTCATTTTTGTTTAACAACAGCGAGAGTTGTATGGATGTACAACTTCTTTATAATGTCCATAGAAAGCTTGTCATTGCTCATCACATCAACTTCTAAATGCCGCTCAAAGAAGTTCATTGGGTTCTATTTAATTATCAAATTTGATAAATTATCAACTTAATCAAAATAATAATTACAAGTAAAAACAAATCATCTGGAATACACATATGATACAAATGTGTGTTTTAGGTAGAAATATCAAATTAATATTAAATAAAATATTGTATTGTGTATGATATTAGAGAATGAAACTAGAGAACTTTATTGAGAACTGAGGCATGTTTGATTAAACAGCATGCTTCCCCCAACAAAACAGTTGAGTGTGGTGTGCAGACAATGAGCTTTGAATGATTTCCCCAAGGTAATGACATTATTTTCAGCACTTAACACTAGGCTTTGCATGTCAACATGCGTGAACTAATCGACAGAACTAATTCTTGTTGGATAGTTACATGTCTGCATATTCTTTTCACAATATAAATAGTAAAACCATTTCTTGCATAATTTAGTAGACAAATACCCATGATAATAACAATCTTTGCCATTACACAAATGACTGGTATCAAATAGGAACAGAAATGCAATGCCATTTAGAAAGTGGTCAAATGTAACATGTTACATTTGGGATTACACTTTCTCAGTAAAGTACGGATTCTAGTACTTTTGTTGGGTTGAGTCTCATCCAGGATTCAAACCCACCCTCAGAGTCAGGCACTTAATCACCAGCACAGTGGAAGTGGAAGTGGAAGTTGCAGTGGCTGAGTGGGTTAGGCAGCTGACTTTCTGTGCTGGCGATTAGGTGCCGGACTGATTATTAGAACAAGAACTTGACACATTTGTCGCTCTTAAGCGACCAGATATGACTTGATGAGGCGAGTGTGGTTGATGGGTAATTGGTTGATGGTCAGTTGTCCTTTCTCTTGTAATCTCTATCTAAAAACGAAAATGACTTACATCATCTGTTCACACCTGTTTGTTGACTGGTGAGCTATGGTATCAACTTGCCACCCAGGTAATAGCTGCTTGTTATACAAAATACATCAGTAATGCAGAATCGCAAGACAAATCATATTGTGACCTCAGTATCGAGATATGTATCATATCGGGAGGCTTTGTGTTGCGACATCCTTACACAGCACTGTCACTCTTCAAAATAAGCAGTCCTCAGCTGTTGCTGCCAGTGACACTGAGAAATAACACCTGGCAATAGAATCTAACGAACCGAAACATTCTTGACACAATAAAGCTCCCAAAGCCAAAAAAGCCCTTAGCAATAATTTAAGAACGTCTAAAACTTGTCAACATTTCAAATATTGCAAAAAAACCATATCAGATTTCATATCAGAAGAGAGCTGTAGTACTGTAGGATTTTCAAGATGGCTAACATTTCTGTTCAAACTTCTTGAACAAACTGCAATGTCACTATGAAGAGAAACAAGCATGTGCAATGCCAGCTACATTGGTTTTCCAGGTCAGACAGACCTGTTTTAACTAGTGGTGGACCGATTAATTGAAATAATCGAAGATTGGTCACAGTGACTAAACGACCAAGGAATTGATCATGTTTTCTAATACTCTCAGTAACAATATTTTTCACAAGGTTCGTTTTGTCTGTATCTTTATATTTACATTTCATAAGCAGTACAAGCCCGTTACAAGTCTTGATTAAATTTATCTTTAAAACTCCAGGCAATTTATCGTTCCTGACATATGAGTCTATATATGATGCTAACCAATTATTTTCTATGACTGATCGGTTTAATGAACCAATCATCAATAATGACATTTGAACCAATTCCCAAGACTTGTTGTAACAGTGTGTTTGCTGACAAACAAAAACCCACAACACTGTAGCTCACCTGGATATTCAGTAACTGGTGAAGGGAAAAAAGCAAGCTTTCAGTCAGATGAGCTAAAAATAGAGCCACAAGGTGATGTGGCTCACAAGGCTGCCAGACAAGCAACCTATGACATGTTCATTTGACTTTCAGACAGGTGCAATATTACAATAGTTAAGAACTCTAAGTTCTAACTCTAGTTTTAACAGTGTTGCAATATAGGTTCAACAACTGCAATAATATTACAATAGTTTTACAAATACCTTTACCATCACAAGTCTACAATACAGATTTCCTTGTATGGTACAACACTTCTGCAAAAGCTCTAGATTCACCAGCTTGTTTGGGAAGCTAATGATTTAACGGGGCTATCACTTAGTTTCATCAGAATATAATATGTTTACTTACTGAATGGCTTTTCAACTTGGGTCTATTTTTGGAAAATGTAATCAATTAACAGTACTTATTCACTTATCTAATGTATAAAAACTATTGACAATGTAGCATGTCTTGAACGTTGATCATTGATATTAGGAATTTTTTACTATAAATTGTATATTTATATACTTATCCTATCTCATGCCTTGTACTCTCTTTAATTTGACCTGCCAAGTGGAAATGGACTGCAAACAAAATCCTAGGCCTCTCTTGTCCATTCACCTGTGCACTCCATACTGCCCCCTTATAAGGATGTCTGAGGTAACTCCTGGGAAGCATGCAGCACACTCCACTACCTGCTCACATAACCACCTCTCCCTGGTCATCCTCCTTTTTGGAGCAATGTTTTAATCTGAGTATTTATTTATTTATTTATTTATTTATTTATTTATTTTATTTTTTTGGGGGAGAGAGAGAGAGAGAGAAAAGAAAGAAGAGGGCGGGGGGATCCATCGCGTGAGATAGGGTAAGTATATAAATATACAATTTATAGTTAAAATTTCCAATTTTTAAAACTTATCCTGTCTCACGAATTGAAGAGAGAGTACAAGATGTGAGATAGGATAAGTTTAACACTAAATTTCAAGTTAACTGTGCAGAATTTTGTAAGAATTTAAGAGCATTGTCAAAGTGCAAATATATTTAAGTTATTATTCAAAATATTTCCATTTACAGAACATATATATCCACAATATGGCCTGAGGTTTAAAAGCCTGTGAGCTGGGCATAAATCAATAAATAAGAACAACAAACATGACACTGTCATAAAGTGGTGTTCATGACTGTGTCATGAAACTTCCGTAAAATGACCATGAACATGAATTCCATGAAATTTCAACAGCTTCTTGTGGCACCGCATGCCCTGATAATCAGATCATCCTTCCTTCTTGGGGCTGAAGTAGACACTTAAGAAGCATGTGGGATAATATCGCTGCCAGATCCAAAACTGTGACACACAACAACAACCTGCTTTCATCAGAAAACATTCTCAAGCTCAAGCCATGTTACCTGCTCAGATGATCAGCGAGAACAGAATGTCAAATCAGCTTCCTTGATCCCAAACCCTTTAATTTCAGTGAACTCAATGCCTGCCATGAGAAGCTGACATCTAAGGAGGCTGACTAGACTATGAACACTCTTCTACTTCAATAGTTTGTGGATGTTTCTGTGAATTATTACGTTTACCCAAATGGTAAAAATTAAATTGAACAGCTTTGTAGAACTTGAGTGAATTAAGTATGACTATGAACGATATTCACCCCTTGTCACATGACAAGCACTTACAGGCCATGCTGTATAAGAATAATGAGTGAGTGAGTGAGTGAGTATGGCTTAACGCCGCTTTTAGCAATATTCCAGCAATATCACGGCGGGGGACACCAGAAATGGGCTTCACACATTGTATCCATGTGGGGAATCGAACCCGGGTCTTCGGCCGTGACAAGCCAATGCTTTAACCACAAGGCTACCCCAACGTCCCTAAGAATAATAACTGCAGGTCAGAATAATTATAAATTGTACTTGGATCTTCAACTCTGCATTGAAAATATATATATCAAATGTCATCACATTCAGAATGCTTTCACATGAGAACTGCAATCAAATCTTCACAAATCAGGTTTCTCCTGGTGTACATATTGACAATATATGTCAAATTTCATTACCGTTAGAAAATTTGTCTGAGTAATGGCCATAAAAAGTTATCAAATCAAATAAAGTTGGTGAGAGAATAATATCTGCAATCAGAATCAAAATTCTTGAACTCAGATGCCATCATAAATGGAAACAAGCAGGCCCGGTTGTTTCTTCACTGGTCCAGCTGAGAAAATTATGTTTGAAGACACCACTGGTTTAATCAACAATTTCTGGACATGGACAACCAAATACCGAAATAAACTCCCTAAATTTTTCATGCATGTGAATTATAAATGTGATAATTACAATGGATGAACAGACAGTTAGGGAGAGCAATAATAGTGTTTTCTTAGTGATACCTACACACCAATATATGCAGGTTTTCAGTTACTTCAAAAAAGGAGATTTCAAAAGTATGGCCTTTACTATACCTTGTCCATTAATTCAGTTGTTGGATGATGTTGACATTTATGGCTCTTTAAGTTAAAACAAACATAACCATGCAAATCCCTTAGTGAAGGGCCTGATCTGTCTACATGTAGGCTTCACTGATGTCCATTACCCATGGTGGATATTCTTCACAAAAGTCACAAAGAAATAAACAGTCTTAAATTCTATGTTTCTTGCTGGATAATTGACAATAGACTGAGGACAAAACAAGGACGACACAAAGACAATGACAACACACATCACTGCAGGCTCTCATCTGCCTTGTATCTCTCAGGCAACAATAGTAGTATATTCAACACCTTTGGGACAATTGTGAAGAAAAAACACTCTCAATATGAATAAAATCTTTAATAAGTATCAAATATTGTATCAAACCAATATTCCAAATAAGACCACGATAAATGACATGAGTAACATAAAAGGGCATGCAAAACCAAATTACCAAGCATGCAAGATAGAGTAGGATATATATAAATAGAAGTTGATTATAAAACATGAAATGTAGAAATGGAAGAAAGTGTGTTGGAACTGGCTTGATCTCTTACCAAATTCTTCTAGCACAAAAATGCCTCCCTTCTGTGTGAAGCATTTCCTGATACGAGTTAGCTCAATAAAGAACTGAAATATAAATGTGGATGAGCAACTTAACATCAAATAAACAGTGGACTACTAGAGTGAGAGAGAAGACAACAAAAGGCTGTGGATGAGATGGTCTGTTGTACAGTTGGTGATGAGAAATGAAACACAAAGATAACAGAGATTACTGCCTTCCTAACACACAAGATGCATGACAGTTCACACTCATAAAACACAATCGCACATCACACAAACACAGCTTGGAGAAGGATTTCATAGTACTGATTGTTGATGCAGATAGATTCATTCTGTATCAGACTCCAATTCCCCCAAAAGTTTGATAACTAATATATAATTTATGAATAGATGTATGTAAGATAAATAAACCATGTTTCTTGTGAATGACTTAACTTGTAGCAACCACTTACAAAAGGCAGCATGATCTGCATAAAAACAACTATGCATCCTTTTCCAAATACTTCACCTTTTGTTACACACATCTGTCAATGACTACAACACAATGCAGGGATTAGCTGCAATGTTTCCACAATGAAATTTAACTGAACAAGTTACACATTGTAAATAGTTTCCATGTTGTCAGTACACACTAAGTTCAGTGGTATTAGTAAACTGTTCACATGTAATTTCATTGTGATAAACACATGTAAAGCAGACTAAATAGCAATAGATGTGGGGAAAAAAGGGTGCAATAAATGAAAACAAAAACTTAAAGTGTCGAGATGAACAAAGGAACTTGAGAGATGGCCGCTAACTGCATTGACACTAGGACAGCATATTTCTAGTGGACCACAAAGTCTTTTACCTCAATCTCCTGAAATCACCCAGAGGAAAGCAGTTGTAAGAAGAAAAGAAAATACAAGCTGTTAGAGGCGATTGAGAGCCATCACCTTGTTGGTGAGAAAGCCATAGAACTCCAACGGTACATACGCCCACATTCAATGTTTGCATGAAGCATTCAATACTCAGGTCTTGATAACTTTTCAGAGACCTAGCACAAAGATGAACGGATTGACATCTTGGGCCATACAGATGCTACAAACACTGGGTGAGCTATAGCCTGCTGGGGTACAATACAGGCATTACACTGGGGAACACGTTTTCACTAACGGATGGAGGGGCAAAGCTCTAACTTTACATTTTTTTGCTGAAGTTATACATGAGGCTGTATGACCTCTTTCAACACAAATGCACTAAACTTGAAATTCTAATTTCTTCACATTTATGAAACTCCTAGCTTTAGGTCTCTGCAAAGCATGCCTGATCAATGCCAATATATCTTCAGGATGTGGTGGGACCATCTCAAAAGTTCTGATAGAAGCACAGAGGTCATGTCAACAGCAGTACTGGGGAATTAGCAGATGTAAAATGTTGAAAAAAAGATATCAAAACATGGCTGCAAACATATGCATTCCTTCAGCACTGAGAGAGAAAACAAAGACTAAGTTGTGCACAGCAGCTATTAATAATACCCATCTATTGTTGGCTCAGGGAGATATGGGAAGTCACAATCAGATGTAAGTTTTGTTCAATTGGGTCAAATGCTGTCTCCCTGTTTTCAATGGTTTTCTCAGTGTTCAAAGAATGGAAATGGATGTGGTCAGAGGACCAAAATGGAAAATATAGTAATTCTAGATGAAGAAAAATAATGCCATAGATTGTTGGATTACTTGTTAAGACGTTCAGTATTGTTGGAATTACTTTTCTGTCTCAAAATTGACAATTTCAAATTGTATAGGAAAACAATAGGAAAAAAGCATTTGGACAAATGTTGTGTTACAGTTCTATATTTGGTGGTTTGTGTGACATACTGTTGAACATCATACAAAAGACCCATATACTTCTATCAGTTATTGAGGTCTCTGAAACAAACAATTGTCAAGTTGTTTTGGTTTGGTTTGTTTTTTTCTTTTAACAAGACACCAATCAAGGTCTTAATGACTAAACTAAAAATGACTATAACTAACAATGGAACTTTATAAGTTAAACCACTAATTCTATTTTGACAGGAGTAACTATCAAGACAATATATTACCCTCTTACATGAGTTCATTTGAAACAGACAAAACCCAATCCAGTTTTTGGATCCTGTTAATTTCCATTGTCAACACAAATGTACGTATATGGGAAGTGTCTTGTTACAATAGTGATCTGTTTCTAATATTTGGTTTCACACACACAGATACACACACACAGACACACACACATGTTTAACTGCTTTTCCATTTTCAGTCTGGTTATACAGGGGTGTTTTCCTTGTGTTCTGGTGGGTGAAGTAGGGCACATATTACGCAGACTATGATAATCTGGAGAACATTTATCTGGATGATGTGAAGTGTGCACACTTGTCTTCTCATAGGAGTACACTGGTAACTTAAAATCTATTACATAAACAATGTACACAATAAATGCAAATACAATCTATGTTTTATAACTGCAATTTTAAGTGAAACTGAACACAGCTGGTAGATTGTTTTACAGGATGTTAGTGATACTAGAGTCTACAAGCTCGTAACAGTGTCAACTACTTGAAGTGGACAAGTTATGTGCACAGCACTTTAATATGAAAAGATTTCCTTTGACAAAATAAACTGCACTTACAAATGTGATGGCTATAACTTTCAATGTTTTCTCTATAACTGTTTCATGTAATTACATCGCTCAAGCTTGCCATATTTGGATGTGAGCATGCATGCATATACCTAGTCTACTGACATGTGCAACATCAACTATTTCCAGCAATCATGCACTAACATTGCTAACTACAGCCTACATGACTCGCCATTCTAAGCTGGGGATAAGCAAGCAGAATGGAAGGTTGTGGATTGTCTCCCTTTTGAAGCAGGAAAGATCTGCCCAGTATTTTTCCAGGACTCCTCAAAATACTTTTGAAAAATCCAAACTTTTTTTCTGCAAAAATACTTTTAAGGTGACTGTCAAATAAAAGGAGATAATCCAGGTACAAAAGGCAATCCACTAGGATGTCAAGTTGACTTTGGAAGTGCTCCTAGCTGTTGTTCTCACAAGTTACAAAACCTGCTACCTGAGAACTACAACTTGAAAGCATATCCACCAACCCACTAATATATACAAGCTGCAGGCATCATTTCAAATGTGAATCCTGACAAGCACAAAAATGCACAATTCATGCACAGAAATGGATTTTTAAATGCAATTAACCAAAATTAACTTCTTCAATGAAATTGATCATAGACAAATAGATAACGGATTTGTGAAATTATAACATATCAAGGTATACACATTTTGAAGTTATCTACTCACCTCCAATCTAATAATTTTATGATAACTGATATATTTAAAAAACAGTGAGTACAAGACCTGCAGCTTGCACAATTACCAAAATCTATATGATGACTGACCATTTAGGCACTTTAATCTCTATGTTCAATCCAACTTAATCAAATTAAATTTATTTCACATCTATTTGGTGTGAAGAAAAACATGGAATCCATAGACCTATATTTGACCAAACAATTAACAAAAACAGCTAGTAAACAGTAAATGCAGTTACTTAATTACTGAGTGAAATATTCTAAGTAAATGCTGAGAGGGCATTATGCTACTGTACAGTGAAGTGTATCTATCATAGTGTTCAGATTAGCATGTGTGTCTTACTTTGCTGTTGGCAAGAAGCAGGCCTATTCCCTCCATACAGACTTGCAGGAGGCCTCCCTGACCTGACCGGAGATCCTGTACCGGAAATTCCCCACCTAGCTCAGGACCTGCAGCGTACCAGTCATCTCAGCATTAACCTTACCAGTACACAGAACTACACAACTCTTCTCTCTTTAACACAAATACTGCCGTTCAACATTGTTCAAACATATCAAAAAGAAAAAATATTTTCACTACAAATAAAAAAGGTACATATATGTGTGTGTTCAAACTTAATGAAGGATGCAAAGGTACATAGATTATACTCACACAGTAAATGCAACTATTGATCTGTACATTCAGAGTATGTTATAATTACACAAAGGTTGGATGAAGCTAGAATGTGACTATGCTGTATGGTCTGTGTAATATCCATCAGTGTGTCATTCCTGGAGTGACAACAGCTAGGAGTACATGCATGCTGTCACTCAACAAAGATAGGCCCAGGCAAGAGGACAAGATATACCTGGAAGCTTCCCAGTGTTGCGGCTCGCAGCTTTCTCCATTGATTCCTTCACACAGAAGTACAGCTCTCGGCACTAAACACAAGAAGACATTTACATGTATCATCTCCAGCAGGTTATTGTTCTGAATATTCACATCCATAATCACAGCTCTCAATGATTACAGCCACTTCATCATTACATACCACCACAGAGCTGAAGAAACGACATGCTTGTGGTCTGAGTTATTTGCTGTTCCCTACTGATTCCCAATAGACTCCTGATTCGGAACATGCAGCATTACTAACACTGCCATAATGTACATGAATTGTAAGATTACAAGGACACTATGGCAACAACAAGCAACAGGGCACTTGATGACTTCTGTCTTGAGATCCATTACCAAAGCATTACAGACATCTTTCACCAACAAGCAGATTGTGTTTCTGGCTACTCAGATTTCATATTGCAAGGTAGCATAGGAATCTCCTGATGCCAGATGACATACAGTTATTCTCCTCTCAGGTTTAAGCCAGTACCACACGCAACAAGTTCTTGCTCTTTTCCTCCTTTCTTGCTCTACAAAGTCATTGTACTCTTGCTCTGCTTCCAACAAACATTGAAGGACACCAGAATTCAACATGTTGACAGCAGCAAACTTGTTCAGGTTTCACAGGTAGAAATCTCTATCCCAAATGACGAAAGTGTTAAAAACGCATGTATTTATACACTACCTTGTCATATTGTACTGCACACAGTGTTGACGCAGTAATACTGCTTGAGAACTACATAAACATACTAACAACGAGTAGAACGTAATGAGAACCCATTGCAAACTTTTAGAACCATGTAGAAACTTACCGGTACTACACACTTCTTCAGAACAATACATTTTGTTTTGAACATATTTGAAGGAATAGCCAAAACCTAAGGATGTATTGTGGTCGAGTTAGGTCTGTCTTCAAACGGGATGGGCATTGTGGAAACTGTACAAACACATTGCAATTGATGCCCAACTGCCCTACGTCCGCACACGTCCCCAGTAACATTGAAGTACGGAAATTCTGTTCATAGTACGGCAATCTTGTTTTAAGTACGTTGTCACTCCATCACCTTTAAGAACGGGTAGAATGTTGGACATGTTCAATATTCTGGAGCAGCCTTTCGTCCCAAGTCCGACCGAGCCCGTCCATATAGACCTTAAACAGGCTGTAAACAGGAGCCACTAAGTCTGTTCACACACAGTTCAATCCCGATCCGAACATTTTTCAAGAATGTACTGAGAACGAGTTTGGTGTGATGGGAGCATAACATATTGCTCATACGATAATAAGGGAACCATACATACAGTATTTTCACTCACCTTTAGAAATACACTTGTGAGTGAGTGAGTTTAGTTTTACGCCGCACTCAGCAATATTGTAGCTAAATGGCGGCGGTCTGTAAATAATCGATGCTGGACCAGACAACCCAGTGATCAACAGCATGAGCATCGATCTGCGCAACTGGGAACCGATGACATGTGTCAACCAAGTAAGCGAGCCTACCCATCCGATCCCGTTAGACCACTCTTACAAATACACTTGTAAACTTGCACGCACGTCTTTACAGAAGAACAACAGCATGGAAAGTGAGTTACGAGGTTGAAGGTTAGAGCTACCTTCTCTTGGCTGTGAGGCCCCGAAGGGTCCTGCGAGGGTGGTTGAACAAGACAAAACAAGTTTTTTGTTTTGTACAAGTCTTATTCAAACTATAGTTACAACCGTCATAGGAATTTTTAATGGACATAAAAATGCTTATAAGTACCCCAAGGAGAACCTCTTGAGAAAAAGAATATCATAGTTAAAGCACAAGAACGCCTGCACCTTTATTTCTTTAACAGTATGTCAAATTTGCAAATAGTAAGTCCCTTTAAGAAAGGGTCCAGAAATAAAGTCATTATATGCATTTCTGGTTTATTGACCTTGATACTTAATGTCAGCAAATCACATTCCTGAGTATTTCTAGTTATAAGCCAGGGTATTGCTTTTTCAAACATCTCACACAAACACAAGAAATTTTTAGCCAAGAGATAAGAGTATGTCAAATTTGCAAATAGTAAGTCCCTTTAAGAAAGGGTCCAGAAATAAAGTCATTATATGCATTTCTGGTTTATTGACCTTGATTTTTCAAACATCTCACACAAACACAAGAAATTTTTAGCCAAGAGAGAAGAGAACCATGACCTATGTGTCCTTGTGGAAAAATGCTGAAAATCAAATTAGCACCTTTCAATCAAATTCTAAGCATCAGGGTTTTGACAAAGCAGTCACAAAGAAATTATCATGTTCTAACGAGGCTCTGTGTATGTCTATACATACTTGTGTATTTACTGTACACACCTTTTTGGTATAGAATTGGTTGAGCTGAACTTTGTCTGCTTGTTTGCGCCACAGACAGAGAACCTTCGTCTTAGGGCAGTACGTCATGTTGACAAGCTTCTCAAACCACCATCTGTCATGTATTGTGCCTGTCACACTGCGCAACAGCAGGCAGTCATCACACACCTGCAATAGTGTTAAATGTGCACAAAAATTGCAGATTTACCATACATAATTTTCATAATTGTTTCCCTGAAATGCTATAAACTAAATCAAGATACACAGAAGCGGTAGGGCAGTTCACCTAGACTTGTAATCTAAAAAATACAGATACTTTAAAGAGTTCTCACTGATGTTCAAATATTACCTGCATATATACTGAGGATAGAAAACAATCACATATGAAATAATACATACAAAAATAAACTAAATATGATCTCATGAAAAGGAGACACATTCTATACATGCCAAACTGTTTCTTCCCCTCAATATCAGAGAAGTTGGTAGCATCAATACCCCATTGAAAAAAATTAAGAGGAAGGTCAAATTATGAAAAGTTAGCTTTGAGATCCACCAATATCTACCAAGTTCAATTCCAGTTCGAACAAAACTGAGTAATGGCCATAAGTAGCTTTTTCAAACCAGCTGGCCAAATGGAAAATCTGAAAGAAGCATGGTCCAATTGCAATGGTATAATTTATGTTATGATTTGTCAAATTCAAATCACAAATAAACATGGAAACGTTTTTTGACAATAAGTTGATATTGAGGATATTGAGCAATCTTGACCTACCTCCATGAATAACATATCACCACCGTTGTCAGTACCCCAGTGAACAGTGAAAGACTGTTTCTGCATCTGACGACTTCCAAGAGGACGCAGGTCAATATCATTACCATGCTGAAATAGAGGAAAGAGGAACAGATACAAAATGACATTTTGCAATGAGGTTGTAACATGCAAAGTAAGATCAGTGTCCATAATACCTTCAGTATGTTAATACCATAAATTACACCTCATATTGTACAAATGACCCAAATATTAGGTTGCATACATCAGTTCCTTTCAAAATGTGTTAACCATGTCATAATTATTATGCAAGTAAGTTGCAATTCTGTGGCCATTTAAACAAGGCTGTTAATTGTGCTGTTTTTAATTTTCTTGTGTAGAATGGAAGCAATTTTCATGAAATAGACATGCACAAAAATACAGCAGAGGGTGGTATGCATAAAAACATCCAATGACTCTTGTTCTTTTATTCCCACAGCAAGCATGGGAAACATACTTTATGAATAACATTCATTGTGACTTTGACCTTTTATGCAGGTTCCTGACACTTTCACCTTGTTGCCAAGTCCCAAGGATAACCTGTACCAGGTTTCATTTCTGAAGCTATGATGTGGATGACCGTGACCTAATATGTCAGCCAAACTGATGGGATGTGGAAGAGACTAATAACTAAATATGCTCTATACTGTATATTCAGCAAGTATAACAACAGTCATCAGAAGATGACAAATCCCCCCCAGTCCCCACTTATTTGAAAGAACAAATCATCTGACAGTTACTTGATGTTTTTTAGACTAAGTCCAAATCGTTTCCATGGAAATCATGAAAAATATAAATGCCAAAAATCCACAAATAGCAAAAGGCACCACTTCAAGATCTGTTTGATATATCTGCCAAGTCTTGTAAAAAGATATTGAAAGGTTTTCGAGTTGTGTTCCAGAAACGAAACCCACCCCTCCCTTTTGAGACACGTATCCATGGAAATCAAGAAAAATAAAAATGAGAAAAACTGTAAATAGCAAAAGGCACCACTTCAGGTTCTGTTTTATATATCTACCAAGTTTGCTTGAAAGATATTGAACGCGTACGGTTTTTGAGTTGTGCTCCGAAAACAAAATGATTACAGACGGACAGAAGGGCGACGTGTTGACTATATGACCCCGCATTACATGCCGGGGGGATAATATAAAAAGACACCCTTTAAGAGGCTGCTAAAAATATTTTTTAGAAATATCAGAATCATACCAGGTTGTTGATTTGATCCAGAAGATTGTTGACATCCTGACTGTACATGAGTCCTATGTGAGATTTACCCAGCAGACGTCGTACCTTCTTCTTCACCTCAGACTTGTGAACATTCATCATCACCATAAATCCCACTAAGTTGTACAACATATGAGCCAACAGACGGTCCTCATCATGTTCTAGACGCTTCCGCTCCATGTCACCAAGAGATCGATACCTGGCAAACAGTGGTCCAATTGAATGTTTACAGTATAAAATAGAGCAGTTCTGCATGCTTGATTATTCAAGTCCTATCAAAAAGTCCAATGGTTTTTCACTTACCGCTCAATCATCTCTGAGGGACGCTGGTCCATGCCAATAATGTCTCTCTCCTGAGCAACAGCATCTAGAAACAAGTCCTCCCAAAACTGCATCTGGTCAAACAATCGACTCCTACTTTTACCTGCAAGACAACGCACATAATTTCTGGTCATGGCAAAACCCAGATTGCATGAAATTATGTTATCCTTTGTAGTACCATTCAAAATTGATAAGATTAAAACAATTGCAATTCTGGAAAGAAATTTCAAATGTGACAGAATTACGAATTTAACATGTAAATTTTCAAGTAAAACTGATATTTTTATACTTATCCTGACTCATGATCTTTTGCTTATCTCCTTTTCCCTTGCGAATGGCAGTGGAACACTTGAATCCCTTGAAGTTCCCAAAGCGAACGTAAAAATACACTCACCCACGAGTTACCTCCCTTTTGCCCTTTCCAGCGCAAACAGTCATGTGACCAGCCTTACTTGTCACTTTCTCCTGATTTTTCTGCCCATGCACTTGGATCTGCTGTGAAATCCGAAGTGTTTCCAGCGGGGAGGTTGGGAGGGCTTCTCGTCATGAGTCAGGATAAGTATAAAAATATCAATTTTACTTTAAAAATTACATATTTTTTCTTATCCTGACTCATGATCTTTTGCTTATAGAATCCGACGGATTGGTGGTGGGTCAAGGCACTTCGTGGATTCATCAGCTGTCCTTAGATACGTCCTGTATACCCCCCATGGGAACTGCGAAACGACATTTCTGTGATCCTATTCTTCCAACTTCCGTTATAACTCGGGGGGACCACTTTCTTGTCTTACTTCAGTCTTAGACAAGGTGAATCATGTTGATTCATGTGGCTTAAGATATACTAGTATCTTCTTTTTACTAGATATCTATAACAACCCATAGAATATGATAAGATCTTTATCATAAATGAGTTGCGACCCCTTCACGTACAGGTAAGATCTTTACCTGTACAGGATCTTTAATCACACATGCTAGCCTGTGCTAGACTGTGCACATGGACTTTCAAACTAATACTTTTCCTTAGTAAAAGTAATCAACAAGTCAACGTGAGATTTTCCAACTCAATGCCTTTGAGGAACCGTTAGTTGCTGTGCTGCAAAGAGAGGCCCAAATTGGTGAATGCCTGAGACGTCTTCAGTGGCTATGTCTGGAAGGTAGTTGGCAAACACCGTATCCGACTTCCAAAAGCAGCCCTCGATAATTGCTGATATAGAGCAATTTCCATGCAGAGCCAATGTTGACGCCAGTGCTCCGACTTTGTGTTGGTTGGAAGCTCTAGGAGGTTCTAGTCCTGCTGCTTTAAAGGCTCTCAATATGACAGCTCTCATCCAGACCAGGTAGTTGGTTCTTGGCAATGAAGTCCCATCTAAGTCCTAGATGAACTGTAGCATGTTTCCCCGTGTCGAATCTGGTTCGACCAAAGTCCAGTGCATGTATCTCTGATATCCGAGCTGCCGTGGCTAGAGCAAGCAGGAACAGTGTCTTCTGTGTCAGCAGCTCGAAGGTAGTCTGGTCTAGAGGTTCATAGGCATCACTTGTAAGATGACGCAGAATTACATTCAGATCCCAGGCTGGAGCTCTGAACTTCTTTTGCTGGTCTTCCAGTTTAAAAGATCTAAGCAGAGCAAGTAATTCTGGTACTTTCGTCAACTTGATGCCTATTTTCATGGTAATCACTGTACTGATGGCAGCAAGGTATGTAGATAATGTCGAACCTTTCAGATGTCTAGTCTGTCTCAGATGACACAGGTATTCCGCCACTTGAGGATGAGTAGCTTTCATAGCAATAAAGCCATTCCGCCTTGCATAAGTCTCAAACTTCAGCCACTTGTCATCATACAGGTTACGAGTAGATCTGCGTAACGCTAGCGTTACTGCCTTGGCTGCCCTGGCGGAGTATCCTCTTTTCTTCAAACATGTTTTGATTTGACACGGTCTACACGTGTAGCTGGAACAGTGTTGGGTTCCCGTGGACTTGCTTGGTGTGCGGATGTATGAGTAGGTTCGGCCAATCTGGTAACTTGATTGTTAGACTTCCGAGATCTTCTATTAGGTCTAGGAACCATACTCTTGCTGGCCAGTAGGGCACGACCAAAGTCAGTTGTAGCGCCTGCGTCTGTTTGATCTTCACCAGTACTTTCGGTAGTAATATCAGTGGTGGAAACGCATAAGCGTTTAGTCCTTCCCATGATATGTTCAGTGCATCTGTTGCCCAGGCTTGAGGATCTGGAACTGGTGAGGCAAACATTTGTAGTTGTTTGTTGAACCTCGTGGCAAACATGAGGATCCTATTTCCCTTATGATGAGCCAAAATGCTTCTGGATGGAGCATCCATTCCGTAGGTGACGGGTGCAGTGGTTGGGAGAGAGCGTCTGCAAGAACGTTCTTGGCTCCGGGTATGTGACATGCCTTAATCCAGATGTTTGCCTCCTCCGTGATGTCAAACAAATGGAATGTGAGCTGTATTAGGCTTGGTGATCTTGTAGATACCTGCTGATTTATGGAGAGTGCCACTGTAGAGTTGTCCGTGTGGACCATCAGCATTCTGTTGATCAGCGAGCTCGACCATAGTTGTAAGGTGTTGATCACAGCTTTCATCTCCAGCAGATTGATGTGAAGATGCTGCTCTGTTTTGGACCACTTTGTTGATGCAACTTGATTGTTGAGATGTGCACTCCAACCTTGTATCGATGCGTCTACAGAGAGATGTGTGTTGAAGGCCGGCTCTTGTAAATAGGTCCCTCCGCAGACGTTCGACCTGTGGGTCCACCAAAGTAGGTACCTCTTAAGATTGTCTGGCATCAAGATAGGGTCAATGCTGTCCAGATGTTTTGTCAGGAACCGTTGCAGCGGCCTTAGTTGTAACCTTCCTGTGAGAGTCAAGTCCTGCGCCGAGGTTAGTAGACCGAGTAGACATTGCCATGTTCGTAGTGTTAACGGAGAGATGACTGCTTGTGGAATCATTGATTGTATCTTGGCCCAATGATCTTCTGGGACCACAATTCGATTCTGTGTTGTGATAATTCTTATTCCCAGTAATTGAAGATCTTGTTTAATTCTAACTCCAACTTCATCAGGTTCACTAGCCATCCTAGTTGTGTGAGCAACTTAATTGTTAAGTTCAGCTGCTGTCTGAGTTGATTGGCACTTTGAAGAACCTGTATGCCGTTGTCCAGATAACCAGCACTGTGTAGACCTCGATGCTGCAGAAAGGTCGCCTTGAGGTTCTCCAGTACTTGAAATATCGGCTTCATAGGTGATATCATATTGGAGTCGAAGTCATCAGTGTATATGCAGTATGTCTCTGTTGGGTTGGAGTGAGTGAGTGGAAGACAATATCCACAGGCCATCTGCTACCCAGTATAAGACCTCAGCATCCGTACAGATGAAGGGATTCCTTTCATCAAGTAGGTTGTCGTCAGAAACTGAACCTATTACAGGTGTAAGGTTCGTGCAGGTTGTAGAGTTGTGCAGGCTGTAAACTGTAGAGATCGCACATGTTGTAGATCTTTTTGTTGAGTTTTAAACTCTGACAAAACCATCCGTTTTCATCATTGCTTCATTTTATTCAGCCTTATAATAGAGTCAACGTCAACATTTTGCCTGTTGATGTAAGGGTTTGTTAACCCTAGGGTTCGCGAACCCTGTAGATGTCTGCGTTGCTAGTATCTGCCTGTAGATCTGAGAGTTCTCAAATCTTGTAGATGTCTGCAGCTTTCTCAAAGCTGTGCGTAGGTTAGAAGGTACCTTGGATATAGGTTCCATCGGAGGAATAGTCACAGAGTCAAGCGGTCATTACGCATCTTATAAGTGTAGACTTCTTCCATATCCTTAGAAGGAGACTCCAAGTTCAAGCCATTGGCTATCCAAGTTGTAACCTCTGAGTCCGGGAAGACGAAGTCTAGTTGTTCATCAATTATCTCCTGATCGGTAGAGCTATGCCTCCGCGAATCATCCATCTGCAATCGTCTATAGATATAAGACAAATATTGATTAAATTGTAGATTTGATAAATCAACACAATAAGTACAGCGCGATGAAATTATGACACAAATACAAATACTTTTTAGAATTTTTTTACGTATAATACATAGTAGTTATTGCCAAATCTATACACAGCGTAATTTTGAAGAATAGGATCTAAATAAAAAGGATATAAACCGTATACGGGACTCCAGTGCTCGCCCATCCATCCACTTGGGCGAAAAGGGAGAGAGTGACAAGTAAGGCTGGTCACATGACTGTTTGACCGGGAAAGGGCAAAAGGGAGGTAACTCGTGGGTGAGTGCATTTTTACGTCCGCTTTGGGAACTTCAAGGGATTCAAGTGTTCCACTACCATTCGCAAGGGAAAAGGAGATAAGCAAAAGATCATGAGTCAGGATAAGAAATATTTAAAAATAACAAGTACCAACCAAGCAAGCCTTCAAACAGGTATGTCTTGTAGAACTCTGGGTTCTGTGGACAGCTAGTGTTGATCATCTTGCCTTCATTGTAACGAAATCCTGTACTGAGATTGCTCTTGGAGCTCCACACACTTGGAGAACGGTTTCTCTTGTTGTGACGTGCAGACTGCTGTAATTGTTAAGTGAGTGAGTTGGGTTTCAAGACTCTTTGAGTTATGTTTCATTTACATCATTGCGTGTCATATTTTTGTTGTGTGAAAGCTGGAAGAAACAAAGGTTCATGACTTTTTTACCACTCATCAAAATGGTTCTAGCAGGCCTTGAGGGCCCAAACTCAGAAAATGGTGAATGCTGCCAAACCAACAAAGGTGGCATGCGTTTACTATTGGTGCACAAATACACAATATGATCAGCAAAAGTGTACAATTTGTTTCTTTGAATTATACTAAGCAATATTTCAGCTACATGACAACAGTCTGTGCTGAGACAGCTGCATAGTATGCTGTGGACCTGAAAAAAATGGCTGCTTTATGTCCTGATCAACAGGTAAATTGATAGGAGAGTGCCTATGTAATAACTTATGTCAGACAATTAGTATGCAATATTACACTGAGGCAACTACCAATAATATAAAAACAAAAAATGATAAATATATAGTGTAAGCCCTTCATTACTCATGCAAAGCCCCATAATTATATTGCTTCAATGGCATAAGTTATATAAATCCTAGGCTGATCATCGACATGTTCTATCCCATATCACATTTGGTACCACAGTGATGACCTTATCAATATTTCAGGAACGATATTTTTAATGACATTTTCTTTAACTTTCATAATTTCAAATATTTAAGTCTACTACACAAACGCTTTAGCATATTTATGTCCTTACCCCAGTTGAGCCTTCCATCTCACTGTCTGACATGGCTCCTCTAATGGAGTGGTGATTGATTCGACTTCTTTTCCGGTTCTCATCATTGTTGTCTGAGCTGGTGCTGACAAGAGTGCTTGCCTCTGATATCTCAGAGTCCATACTGTTAAACTTATCTAGCCTGCTGGTCTTAATCAACTCTTTGTTCTTGACAAGCTCATGCATCATGTCCTCCCCATCTCTGGAAGAACTTGTGTCAGTCACAATGATATCGCATGTTTGAGCTGGTGTTTTGCCAATATTCCTGTTCATGTCTGTCATCTGTGGGCTGAGCCCTGTTTGTCTGGAAACACCACCATTACTTCCTCCAATTCCAGAGTTTTCTGAGTGACCACTGCTGTCTGACATCACAGGGATCTCTATGTTCTCAAACTCATCACCATTTACAATCACAGGGGAACCTAAACAAACATGGTATGTTTATAAAGGCAAGTTAACACTCCACATCAAATACATAAAAGTCAAGGCAAAAAAGAGTTACTGCATAGACGTACAAATCAAGCTAGAAAAATTTAATCGATTGCTTTTCAGGCACTGCCACATGCACAAGAGATCTGTATATAATATGGCTTTGGTCATTAATTACTGGCATAATCATCAAACAAATATGACATGTCTGTGTTGAATCACAGACCAGCCTTTTTGGGTGTGCTGTTTAAACTCATTAATTCAATCTCCTCTACTTAATCATGTTAATGAAAATTCCATGCAAGCTCAATATCAGCAGTCATTTTGTAAATTTGACTGGAAACAGTTCAATGTGAAATGTGTCAATATTTCATGCAAAAAACTGAAGCAGTCAAACTCCCACCTAAATGCCTCAAAACATTCCTATCAAATTCATGCATCATAAATTACTTTGAACCAATCAGGTCATCCAAAGTGCTGTTCAGCTATGTCCTGAGCTTAAAGAGTTCTCTAATACAAGCTCCTTTAGTTTAATAGAGTTACTCTAATACAGGCACTTTTAATTGAATGATATCACTTTCATGACTGTAGTTTCCTTGATGACAGTGTCATAGACACATCTGATTTATTGACCTTGTTTACTCAATTATAATCATGTGTCTTACAAATACAGCAGATATTTTTAGAAGAACAGAAAAGCAAACCTTACTCAAGAATGTGAATTCGAGAAAGGTCAACCAAAACCTTGCTCAAAACCTCACCACTTTGTCACAGCCAAAGAATAACATGTGCTAACTTTCATCCCACTACAAAAGAACACATCTTGGGTTTCTTCTTCAATAGCAATTGCCAGTATTTCATGAACCTCCCAAAGGGCTATCTAGCACATAAACTGATATCCAATTCAATGGAACAACATAATACAGCACATGATATTCATTGGAAGTTTGTGACCTGTCCTCTACCATTATTATTTATTCAAAATAAAATACCAACTATATGCATAAAACTTGAAAAATATCTGCCAATATTGGCATCTAAGTAAAAACTGGAAATTAATTTATTTGATGTTAGTTACATGATCTGTTTTGAAAATGATTCAACATTAACTTTTCAATTTGTAATCAGAAGTGCAAGTGCGGAGTTACTAATCAAATGATCAATGAATTGATTTTTCATTCTTAATGTGATTATATTTCTGCTGGAAGCTGTACTGCAGTAGTCAATAAATAATGTCATGCAAAAACAGTAAAAGCCAGACTGCAACTTACTACACACCAATAGAACATTCCATGTGAACTCAGCTATAAACAAATAGAAACCTACCAGGTACTTCCTACTCTCTCAAACAAATAGAAACCTACCAGGTACTTCCTACTCTCTCAAACAAATAGAAACCTACCGGGTACTTCCTACTCTCTCAAACAAATAGAAACCTACCAGGTACTTCCTACTCTCTCAAACAAATAGAAACCTACCAGGTACTTCCTACTCTCTCAAACAAATAGAAACCTACCGGGTACTTCCTACTCTCTCAAACAAATAGAAACCTACCGGGTACTTCCTACTCTCTCAAACAAATAGAAACCTACCGGGTACTTCCTACTCTCTCATAACCCTGTTCGATATCTCACTACACTAGCCTTTCTACAGTGATACTCGTAATAATAAAAGTAAAATCGTATCCTTATAGTGCAGAGATGATCTTTTTTTCCCTTCATTGTTTCATTACATATGCACTCTTATTTTGGTCAGTTGATGTGACTCAATTTGAACCCAGTAACCAGCCTGGAAGAGTTGTTGCAGGAGCCCATTCAATCATAGAGTGTTTGGTTATCAATTGATTACACTAGAGTATATGTGAATAATGCGAAACAATATAGAATGATATTTTAAAGTAACATTCATGTCCTACATCATGTATAAAGCTGAATAATGAACATATAAAAGCAGCCTTTAATACATGAAAAGATAATGTAATATTCTAATGTAACAACATAACAGGCCAAGAGACATAAGCACACTATGCACGATGACTTCAACAAAGCTGGCTGGAACCGTTGGGCTGCACGGACCTGACTCAGTGCTGGTGCTGGTACTAGAGGACGACTGGTCAGAAATGCAGGCGGCACTGATTGGCTGTGACTGGTCTCGTTCTCGCTCTGCCCACCAGCCCGTGCTGTCCTGTCGGCTGGGGGACAGTGGGGGTTGGCGGGGGGACGGGTTCAGGCCTAAATGTACACAGATAGAGGATGCAGCCAGTCACCACAAAACAAACACAAGCTAGAAACATTCTGCTGTTTGTTAGAAACTTAGCTGCTGTTTCATAGATACTTTGTGGTAAGAATTTCATTTGGGTTAAATGTTAACCAATACGGACATCCAACAATTCAGAATCATTCTTTTCTTCAAAGAAAAACAGAATAACAGTTTTGACAAAGTTGCATAATCAACTATTTGTTCATAAAATTCTATTTCACAGCAGGAAGTGACCAATCATTGTCAAGACATCTGCATGATGTTCAAGAAACACAATGCAAATCTGTGCTGGAAAATATTGCTGTCCCTCTCCAATTTCTGTGCTTTAAATTGACTCATGCTCATATATTACATAGTACAGGTACATCACAATGTAAGCACCACTGTTTTCACCCAAAGAAAATATGAGTGGGGGGAAAAGCTAAAACAATACAGACAAAAGTTGTTTCAGTCTTTTATAAATAGTATAATAATCATGTTGATGACTACTGATGCAACAATACAGCTTACAGGCATTTACAACAGGAAGTGGTCTTGACAGGTGAGATTATTTATTTTATTTAAGTACATACAATATTAGTTGTTATCTTCATAGCCAAGTGAAAGCTTGAGTGGAAGGACATAAAAGCAATGCAAAGTTGATCATACAGCAAGATGCCTGATTATGAGCCATGTAGCCTCCACCATAAAAGTAAATACACACAAAAATACGTATACTTACTGATGGTTGCAGGCATGTTTTCTGTTTCTGTGAGACTTTGGTTGTCTATCCTCTGGGAGTCTTCTCCTTTGGATGAGAGGCTCTCATGACTGCCATGCAGAGAGGACACCTAAACATCCAATCAGAGATGAACCTACATGTCTCAATGGCAACTTCAACAAAGATATTGGTACATTTAATTATTTGCCTCACAACAAAATCTGGTTTGGTATTTGTAACAGCTGATAGGTATAAGTCAAAATGCAAATAGATATTCTAAAAGTCAAGAGGTACACATGGTGGAGAGAGATAATGTGGATGTTCCATTGTGACTTCATTGTGAGGCATTTAGAAATTGGTGTGATGAACAACAGGGACAGTTCTAAGAAAATGTCACTTGTTTGATAACGGTGTTAGCAGCTACACCGAAACATCTCTCACATTAACAACAAAGAAGTTGTATATCCATAGTACTCTCCCCCTTGTTATTCAATTGGGATTGACAAATACATGTATGTGCTCATTTCATCAAGTTTTATTATACATGATATCAGCATGACTGGCATACTCTAACCAATGTTAACAACTATGTCAACCACTGTGTATAAGTCAAGCTGTAGCAATTTCTAACAAGGATTCACATACAGGGCAGAAAAATGGTTAACAAATTAGATAAAAAGAATTATAGAAATAGTAATGCAATGACATTGTGGCTGGCCCAGATGTTCGTCATTTGTTAACATTTGGACAGGACAGACATTGAGATTCGTAGAGCTTATTAAGTTGTCTAAAGGAAATTAAGAGCACTACCAGAAGAAGCTGAAAATATACCATATAGCTCAGAACAGAACATGTTGAACAAAGAGAAGTCAGTGACGAGTAAAGCATGGCCATACAGAAAGATCTGTACAAAATATGAAGGCAAAAACTGTACTATAAGTTAATCCACATATTTGTTGCATACACATTACTTTGTACTCTAATCACCAGCATACCAAGTCAGCCGAGAAAGTGGGTTCAAACCCTGGATGGGACTCAACCCAACAAACAAGTACTAGAATCTGTACTCTATTGAGAAAGAGACATCTCAAATATAACATGTGTTATATATATAATATCCTTCTATGGTGTCATGTAAAAGGTTGGTCGGTTTGTAAATAATAAAGTCTGAACCAGACAATACAGTGAACAACATCATGAGCATCGATCTACTCAATTGGGATACGATGACATGTGTGAACAAAGTCAGCGAGCCTTACCACCCTCTTACGAAAAGCATGGGTTGCTGGAGACCAATTCTAATCCGGATCTTCACGTGTAAAAGATGCTGATCTTTCCATAGACATAGTAGAAAGTCTAGAATAGTTGGCATGGTTATTGGCTGTTCTCCAGGTCTGATTCATAACAGCTGCATAACAGCTGAGGCAACTTCTTGTGAAGAACCTGCTGATGTGAGGTATCATTGGACAGTTTTCATACTTGTAAGTACAGCTGTTCCTGGTTGCAAATGAATTTACTTTGTCTGAGAAGTGTTGGACAAAGGGGCAGAGAGAGAGGATCTGGAAACAAGGAGCCAGTCAGCCATGCTGGTGGTGCTAGATACAGTGTCATCCGATGATTCCCAATCTTGGCTAGGTCTATGAAGATCATAGAGTTCCTTATAAGGATGGTCTGTCTGAGGTTCTGTATGGGCTCCATGATAGTGAGTGAGTTGTGCTTTACGCCGCTTTTAGCAATATTCCAGCAATATCACGGCGGGAGACACCAGAAATGGGCTTCACACATTGTACCAATGTGGGGAATCAAACCCGGGCCTTCGGCGTCACGAGCAAACGCTTTAAAAACTAAGCTACCCCACCGCCCCGGTTCCATTATAAACTTGGGAGGTTGTTTCAGATATTCCTATTTCAGGATCTTTAGATCGATCATCCTGAGGTCTGTTGAATCCTTGGCAACTAGGAATAACATATAGATGAACCCTGGTCAAGGATACAAAGGGTCCAACTCAATGACTTTCTTATCCCATAGTTTGTCTATTATTATAAATATTATTGTAAATTATGATAACCGATTTATCTCCATTTATTGTACACTTTACAGTAACAAAATTGGGAAAACAATATTTTTACATTTATTTTACTCAATTTTCATGTGTCACAACTCCAGTGGCTGATGTGCAATTTGACTTTTTTGGTCTTTTTCATGTTTTTCAAAAGAAATCTTTTTACATATCATAATTAATGATGTTACAGCTTCATGCTTGGCATGTTTGGATAAACATTTTGTGAAAAAAGGTCAAACTTTGTCACAAGGTTTAATGTCTCTACTGTAACATCAAAATTTTAAAAAATGCAATAATGATTACTGCCTGGACTGTCTGCTAATTCAACTTCCTGTTTGAAAGTAATGGCAGTGAGGAAACATGGCTATCAAACAGTGACACAAAAAACTTCATTTTTCTTAATTTTATCGAAAAAAGGTGAGTACAAAATGATATCTGAGATTTTGGCATGTCCTAACCATTACGGTAGCTCCCGCTGAAACCAATTAATTTTGTGAAGCCAAACAACACCAAGTACCTCAGACAGTTGGAGAAATCATCAGTAAACTTTTGGGACCTGTTATTGTTTTAAAACTGATATTGTTAGTGGCTGTCACTACCGTTACCATGGGTGTTTTTACAGTAAGGCCAGACCAATTTTATTTCTTGTTTTACGGACTTTTGTCCTCAGAAAACCTAAAGGCAGGAGGGAAAAAAATAAAAAATAAACATCACCAGTGAAAATTGATAATTTATACTTATCCAACTCAACTTTGAACATATAGCATGAGTCAGGATAAGGAAAAAGATGCAAGTTTTCGAATAAATTGATATTATACACTTATCCTGACTCATGCTATATGTTCAAATCATGAGTCAGGATAAGGAATTTTTTTTACAGTTTTAGCCTACATGATATACATGTATGCACGAATTTTGAGAATGACTCGTTTGGTGAGAATAGTATCTAATAAAGATATTACTGACCCCTAATGTGGGAACCTGTGTTTGTTTTTTGTCAAAATTTCCAAAAGAATGTTTATATTAACTGCAGTGACATCATGTGTCCCTCCGATATTTATAACTTCTGCCCGCATTATTCACAGCAATAGCTATCTGCTCACGTCTCGAAATGAAGTGTAGTTGACATAAAATGGATACATACATACATATTTTGTTTTGCTAAAAGTCATATTTGTTGTAGCTGGACGATCACATGTCAACAAATTGTTTGCCTGGTGGAAATAGCGAGACCGTGCGACACCACATTGGTGACAGATCAAATTGTTCCATGAATAAAAACTATCCGGCAAGACACCAAAGTTCTGGTTCTGTATACGAGACAAATACACACAGTAATCTTAATCCCTGCATATAAGACAATGCCTGGCAAAAACAAATTAGAACTGAAAAGGTAAATAATCTTTTTTTTAAATATTGTTTTATTAGGTAAATAATCTTGTCTGGTGATGTTCAATTTGATGTCTTTACTGACAAAATTGTCTTCTCTTGTTCGTTCACACGAAGCGATACAATGTCGTTTTCTTACCCCTGAAAAAATAAAGTTTGATGAAAGTGTAACCCATAGATAAAGCTCTCTTCTCTCTCTCTCTCTCTCGAGAGAGAGAGAGAGAGAGAGAGAGAGAGAGAGAGAGAGAGAGAGAGAGAGAGAGAGAGAGAGAGAGAGAGAGAGAGAGAGAGAGAGAGAGAGAGAGAGAGAGAGAGAGAGAGAGAGAGAGAGAGAGAGAGAGAGAGAGACTGCTTATTTTGGTTTCAAACTTCGGCTTATCTACGGTAATATACGGTATCTTAAAGTGATTCCCTGACATGTGCAGGTAATCAAACTTACATCTGGTGTGAGGCTGGTGTCACTGCGGTTACTGCTGGTGATCTCGCGGGCCCAATAGTGTGTGTGTAGAATCTCCATCACCATGAAAGCACTTGCCATACCTCCAAGGCCATGGTTCTGGAATGTGTGCTCCAGACCATGGACAATTGCTTTTACCATTGCCAGCATGCCCTTGAACACATTCTTTGTAATACACTGAAAACAGGAAACAAAGAAACACGAAGTTATGTAAAAAGCTATGTTTTGGGTGCATCACAGGCAGCAATATTAGTCATCAAAGTCATTTCAATTCATGCTGATAAAAAAAAAATATTGATGATGAATGGATTGACACAATATAATTCATTACTTTTTGTATGGATAACAAATGTCACAGAAAATTTTGTATAACATCATTGCATTGCACATTATATAACTTTATGTAACCCAAAGTCTTAGCTGTGATCCTGAATATGCCTTCTCAGGGAATTCACGATTCTTCAGCCAATAATTTAGGTCATTGCAGGACTCTTCAAAAAGGTAACATTAACAGAAAAACAATTTAAGTTCTTGCAGTGATGCATTTAAAGCAAATCTTCAAACAATGCTCATTGTTTATGGGCTGCAAAGGATGTGTTCAATTCCTTGTTTTGTGGATGTGACCCTGGTACTCACTACATCCTCAAGATGATTTGCATCATCAGAAAGCTTTTTGTCAAGATTACGGTTGAGTCGACTGATGACAAAGTTCCTATAGTTCTCATCTTCCATCAGCTTCTTCACACGATTGAGCTTGAGCCATCCCATCCCCTGCCCGTCCAGGATCAGATTGACCACCTCCTTCAAGAATTGCTGATTCTCACTGAAGGTACAGAAATAGTTGTGGTCAAAATATGGTCAAGATGTGTTTTCAACATTCCATAAAAGTTTAATGTTTGGGATAATCTGATTCTCTACTGATAACAATACTGACAAAGATACCTTACACAAATGCCAATGTTCACTTACCTGTTTGAAGAACCCCGAGACTCTTGTGGTGCTGGTTTCACAGGCTCTTTTTTCTTCTGACTGGTAGCGTGTTTGACCAATCCAGACTTCTCGACAAGAGCTTTCCGTGTACCTGTCATGATAGTCAAGTTAATTTGTAAACCCCCTAACTTCAGGAACAGCAGAGTGATAGAACCTATAATCTAATAACTGCAACGATCTTAGATCCAAAATTCTTTCATCTTTACGCAGAATACAATATCCGCATATCTGACCCACCCCACCACGCCCCTCTTTGACCTCTCTATGTATGATTTTGAAAATATTAAAATGCAACTGAAAAAGAAAAATCAAGAAAGAAACGGTTTACGTTCAAAATAATTATTGCTCAAATGCATTTGCTGTGTAATTTGTAATTACTACTTCATGTTTACAAAAGAGAGTGAGTGAGTGAGTGAGTTTGGTTTTATGCGTCTTTTAGCAATATTCCAGCAATATCACAGCGGGGACACCAGAAATGGGCTTCACACAGTGCACCCATGTGGGGAATCAAACCTGGGTCTTCAGGTTGACGAGTGGATGCTTTAACCACTAGGTACCCCACCACCTCTTACATAAGACAATAAAGCTTCATTTGATTGATGAAACCATGTTACTTTGCAAACATTTAACAACCTGAATCTAAAAACCATATTTATAACGATATGTGTTTTTAAAATTTAGATACAGGTATGGTACATATGCATTATACCGGACACCTACCTACCATATTGGATTAGGTCCCTAACCCTAAATCCCTCATAATAAACATGAAGATACAAAGATTAAACAGGTTCTGTGATATCCCAATTATAAAGGCAATTCATAATGGGGTTTTATTTCATATGAGCTATGATTAATCATACTATATATATAGTCATTTCTGTGAAATCTGGACAAGATGAAATATCTCCAGTTTTATTGCTAATATTCAATCACAAAAGAGTATAAGAAGACCATCCCTGTCTGTGACATCACATCCGGTGACCCTAGCACTTACTGAAAAAATGTTACCGTTTATGATTTTCATTTCGTTTCTCTCGTTATATTATGCTGAAAGTGATAAATGAAACACTCATTGAATGAGAAGTTTCTCAACTTTTGCCAAGGTTTATACATGAAAGCAGTCCAAACTTTGTTTGCAGAGGTTGGACAAAGCGTGTCATGTTTTGTTTTTTGTACATGTAAAGGAATGCAACACAGGATTTATGTGGTTCAGTGTCAAAATATTGACCAATAACACTTGAAATTAGGACTGGTGAATATTCATAAATTATTCATTACATTCTACAAATTTTATTACAAGACATGTTGGAATAAACCGAATGGTGTCATTTAAACAAAACATGCGATGACATATATATATATGATTGTTGTGTGACGAAAAGTTTCGAATATTAGTTTTAAGATATTTTTTTTATCTTGTCATCACTTAATATTTTCCGATTCTATGCAAGAATGCGTGCTTGACCTCTGTGAACAGTTTGGGTTGGGTCTGTTCAAATTTGTTCTTGTTATTATCTCCTTCAATAAAAGATCAGAAACATTCCCTGACACTGAAAAACCATCAATGGTACATGTTTTGTGATACCACAGCTGGAACTATTCATATGTATAAACAAATATTAATGTTATTTGTGGTCATCAGGAGGAAGACCAGCTTTGAAACTTACTGTCAGATATTGATATTTCAGAGATAAACCTGATTGTTCCACATACCTGAACTTTTAACATGGACCATGCAGGTGCAAGGGGGTACATGGGAATTCTATTATTGAAAGTTTGCAAAATCACAATGAGCTAGTCACAGTGTTGATTTTCATTATACATATAAGCTCTCTACTCCTAAATGTAGTGTTTGCAATGACCCTAATTGCTACCGACATGCTTTAAACTGGTAGAACTCAGCAAGAGGTTGAACAGACAGTCTCATCTGATGCCTATGAGGAAGGTGTTGTCTTGTAAAACGTCTGTGTTTTATCGTAGGTGTCGTAAAATCAGGTTGAAGAATGTTTTAAGGACAGGAAAATCAGATAATATGGTGAAAAAAGTGTTAGCTTATCATAATAAGCTACAGTTTTTGGATCTACCTTACTAGTTGAGTTAGTTGCTTGAGTGAAGACTGCTTTGAAAAGTATTCATGTAAATAATTTGTCAGCACAAGCTATGAAATACACAATGCCATTTTAGAAAGTGGTCAAATGTAACATGTTATATTTGGGATTACACTTTCTTAGTAAAGTACAGATTCTAATACTTTTTGGGTTGAGTCCCATACGGGATTCGAACCCACACCCTCAGAGTCAGGCACCTAATCGCCAGCAAACAAAGTCAGACGCATTGACCACTCAGGTTATATTTAACTGGAACTTTGATACATGCTGTGTGACCTGTTCCTTATCTTTTCTGAAGGCTTTCTCTCATGTACAGGTACTTACTATTGTATTTCTTGCAATTGCAAGTGTGTAAAACTAGAAACCAACCATGGATTTGTTACCTATTGTCTAAATAACTTCTATTTCTGTCAATTTCTATTCATCTTGGATCACTTAAGGTTGTCTAATCCATTAATTTTGGCAGCAATGTTGAAAAAATGGATTTAAACCTCTGGAACATACCACTGTTTGGAAAAAAACATAAAAAAGTATTTTGAGACAAGCTTGTTAAGTTTCAGTATGTTTTCCAACTGTTTCCAGATGTTTACACTGTGAGTGAATGTATTATGAGATGATACAGTACCATTGTTGGAATGCAATTCGAGGTGAAAATGGAACATATATGTGAAGCCCCACTACCAACATGATATTTTGAACAATTACAATACATTTACAATATGGCTTCAACAGTATTACAGCCTTTAAGAAATACAGCCATACAAGCCATTGAGTCAATCTAACTGCCAGAATTCCAACTGAGGTTTTATGTCAATGACACAGAACTTGCAGGACTAACAGAATACCTTGTGTACAGGAGGCTGAGAATCCCCTCAAGATAATGTTTATTTTAAATATTGTAACCGAAACTTAGCTTGTCAGAACATATGATGCAAAAAACAACATCAGAACATATGATGCAAAAAAACAACATACAATGACCATTTCAAAGAATTTTTCAACTGCACCAATAAACGAGAAAAAGAAGACTGTCTAATCAGTGCTCACCAAGAGGTGTGTATGGTTTGGCGGCTGGCTTGTTGGTGCTGGGTTGTGGTGGTGGAGGGGGTGTGGCAGCCTTATTGCTTCCTGCAACAAATATACACCTTCTTTGTAGATCCAGAGTGATAAAAAAATCAATCATTTCCTATGTATTAGTTTTCTGTTGTGAATACTTCTACTTTCTTTTTATATGATGGAAGCACTTCTGTCCAAGATGTAGAGCACAATTAGTTACTCTCTTCTGATAATCATAACTGGGAAGCTAGATTCATATAGCTGCAAGATTCATCATACACATGAATTTGTCTCCCAGACAAACAGCACACTGTGACAGTCTGATGATGTACTCAACAATTTAAAATAACTGTTAGCCTGTCTTGTAGTGCAATTATTACTGTAGAAAGGTTGGGAACGTGTAGAAAGACAAATAGAAGCTAAAAAGAAAGTAAAATGATAAAATGATATAAAACAGCTCTTAGTACATGTAACAGGTGTTAAAATGGTAACTCACCAAACAACTCTGACATGGTGTTTGTGGCTGACTGTGCCATGTCAGTCAGCTCATTGCTAATGGTTGATATGATGGAGGAGGCTGGAGATGACCTGTCAGAGTCACGATCAGACAGGGACTAAAACAAACAGCAAACTATTGTTAGCTTTGTGTATCATATAAACAGTACATCAAAACTCCTTACATTAGGCTATCATAACACCTAAAATTCTGCAGATTTTAATCGAAGTGTGCATTATTGTCCCCTGTCCATAATAAGATTTCAAGAAACTAGAATCTTGACACCTGTGCTTCCCGTGCATGTCAAAGGTACCATCCCTCCCAAGCCTGTGTATACAAGAGTTGGGATACATCCCAGCCCATTCTTCTCCGATACATCTTCACTCCCCAAGAGCCGATTTCTAGATCTAGGTTAACTGGGTTTCCTTTCTGAATGCAGCTATGTCAACACATCTGACATGGTTGCCTTGTTGTATTCATCACCATATTGATTTTTTTCACCTTCTTCAACATTGTCAAGGACTACTTTAGACAGCGAGCAGCATTGAGTGCATCTTGTATCCAGTGTACAAAGCCTGTGGGAATCTTCTTTGAACATGAGGCACCAATACTTCTTGCAAGAAAGAGAAGGCAGAGCTGGCACTGTGTTGACCCTACATTTACTCAGCTATTATCACAAAAACCCAACAACAAAAACAATGTAAAGCTTTTGTTGGAATACATGATACTTTGACAGTAAAGCTAATAATCCTTGTAAAAAAAGGAAGATTTATCTGGTGATGACAACTTCCAAAACATAAGCTAATAGAATTGAGAATAGAGAACACATACATCGTACAAAGAGTGTTATCATGTAACCAAATTATATAACATTCAACCTGAGTCGGTCATCTTTCCAACAGTATCTTCTTTCACCAAAACTAAACCGTATATGCACTACATCTAGCTTGCCATCGGTGAATGTGCCAACATTCTACATTTGGAACTTAATTCCTACATGCATCGTACAATACGTCCCTCCTCTTCAACCTACACTTTGATGCCGAAACCATATCCAAATACATCATGAAGATAAATGCAATTTGCAGTTTTGAATTCTGTTTGAAATTCATTATTGTATGATATCATCTGCTAATTGTAGGGCAAATGTTATGAAAATTACATGCATTACATGCAATTATTTCCAAAATTCAAAAAAATATAGTATAGTTTCCAAAAGTGTGACGCCATGACTGACACAAACTCGCGCACACCCATGATGGTACTTCTCCTCATTTCTGACTATATCCTTTGGTTACAAAGAAAACAAAAGAAAATAACAACAAGCAGATTGTCAGAAAGTTTCGGACTACTTACACGTCACATTTATGTATACACGTTGCTTGAAACAACAATAGTTTCCTTCCAAATATCCTGCATACTCGTGTCGGTGAACATGCCATTTTGAGAAGTCGCTTCCCGATAGTAATTTTCATACATATGTCAACATTGTTATACATATTTGGTATTTTCATTGAGGTGAGGTTATAAATGAAAATACACACAATCATTTCCATCTTGCTGCTTACATTTTCAGTTCTAATGATTCTTTCCTATTTTTACATACTCATTTCACATGATTACACATGATTAATGTCAGTATTTATATCTTATACTTTGTGACTAGACAGAAGATTAAATCATTTGGCACCAATTACATCATAATCAAACGGCAGTAACTCTGGCCAGCTTAGCTAGGCAAATGTAATGGCAAAACGTTTCAGCTCTTATATTGAGCGTTATACCTTCATTGTAATAAAAAAATTGTGGATATTTTCAAACATTGATATTAACTGATTAAAAAATTCCATTTTGTTTCACATAAGAATAATCGTGATTTATTTGTGTACACTTCCCTTAAGTGAGATGACAGCCAAATTGTAGTTAACTGAATAAAGTGTCTGCCTGGAGAGCAGAAGGTAGACCTATAACATCTGACATTACAAGACAAGGACTGGTAGGCTCGGAAACAGAATACTGTGGATGTAAGGTATGCATTTTTGGCATGGTAGTTAAGTAGGCAAACAGCTGTAAAAACTGCATAAATTCTGACTTGCACATGGATGGAAACATGACACAATATAAGTGACCCTATTAGCTGAAATGAAAGGAAGTTTTAGCGAGAATGACACTGGGACCAATGACAGCTTGTGACATCACAAGCTCATGGACTTTCAAACACACACATGCCGGCTCCCAAGTATTGGGGTCTCTGATATTTCACACAGGCACAAGTAGATATCAACATTGTATCTGCCACTATATTCCCTCCTTATAAAACGCTGAATCCATAACAACAGTGAACTCATTGGATTGTTCTGACTCCGTAAGGACAATGACAGTATTTAAGTAAACTATTCTACAACAAGTAAATGCACTCAAGTATAGAGTTGCTGCCTACCCTAAATCCCTTTTTAGTAGATCCACTTGAGCCACCACTAGATGTGCTACCCCCTCTCTGCTGGCGATTCAGAAGGCTTCTATTTACGCCTGGGAGATTAGGACTGATGCGGGGTTTCTCATATGTCTCAAACGCAGAGTTGTTGCTCCGTATTACTCCTTGAGGTAAAGGTGATTTTCTTTGTGGGTCAGAGACATTTTGTGCCCAACCTGCACTATCTGGTCGACTGAAAGAAATTAGGGCTATCAGTAAAAACAGTACATATGACATGGAGCTTGAAAGAATTCAAAAACATCAAAAATGTAATTTTTAGAGTAAAATTGATATTTTATACTTATCCTGACTCATGCTCTTTTGCTTGTCTCCTTCCTCTTGCGAACATAGTGGAAACACTTGTATCTCCCTAATTGAAGTTCCCTTCAATGTAAAATCACTAATTAGCACTCACCACGAGTTACCTCCCTTCCACAAGCGCGTGAACGAGGGCGCCACCTCTACCCATGTGCCTCACTCTCTCCTCATATACTGAGCCCAACATTTGAATTTACAGGGAAATCCAAAGTGTTATGTGGGGAGGATGGGACGGCTGACCTCATGAGTCAGGATAAGTATAAAATATCAATTTTACTCTAAAAATTACATATTTTTCCTTATCCTGACTCATGCTCTTTTGCTTGTAGAATCCGAAGGAAAGGAGGTGGGAATATATATACTTTGGATTTTTAATAATTAGTGATTTGAACTGTGATGATTGTAATAACCCTATGGGAACTTCATAAAGGCACTGAATTGATGAATTCCTGCTGCTAACTTATCAGCTGCCATATAAAGGTTATTACAATGTACTTAATATGATAAAGTATATATAACATTAATACAATGCTTAAGACTAATAGACTTAAGCTTGTTAAAATGCTAGTATAAACTCCTTAGAGTTTGTTAGCTAAAATACTTTAAGATATAAACATAGTACTAAGCTTAAGATATGATTAAACTTAAGCTAATTAAAATAGCAAACTCTTTAGAGTTTGTTAGTTAATATACTTATATGATATAGATATAATGCTGAGCTTAAGATATGAATAAGCTTTAGCTACATATATAATAGCAAAACTCTGTAGAGTTTGTTAGCTAATATATTTTTACAATATGAGTATAGTACTGTGCTTAAGATATAATTAACTTAAGCTACATATATAATAGCAAAACTCTGTAGAGATTGTTAGCTGATATATTTTTACAATATGAGTATAGTACTATGCTTAAGATATAATTAACTTAAGCTACATATATAATAGCAAAACTCCGTAGAGTTTGTTAACTAATATATTTTTACAATATGAGTATAGTACTGTGCTTAAGATATAATTAACTTAAGCTACATATATAATAGCAAAACTCTGTAGAGTTTGTTAGTTAATATATTTTTACAATATGATTATAGTACTGTGCTTAAGATATAATTAACTTAAGCTACATATATAATAGCAAAACTCCGTAGAGTTTGTTAGCTAATATATTTTATAATATGAGTATAGTACTGTGCTTAAGATATAATTATCTTAAGCTACATGTACAATAGCCAAAAACTCTGTTGAGTTTATTAGCTAATAGATTTATAATGTAACCCTAGTACTAAGCTTAAGATAAGATTAGACTTAAGCTAAATGTATATAGCAAAAAAAAACTCCTTAGAGTTTATTAACTAATATACTTTTATGTTATAAACATAGTACTGAGCTTAAGATATGATTAAACTTAAGCTATATATATATAATAGCAAAACTCCGTCGAGTTTTGTTAGCTAATACATTTTATAATGTAAACATACTGCTTAAGATATGATGAAACTTAAGCTAATTGTATAATAGCAAAAACAAAACCCTTTAGAGTTTGTTAGCTAAAATACTTATATGATATAAACCTAGTATTGAGCTTATGAAGGAAAACTTAAGCTACATATATAATAGCAAAAACTCCGTAGAGTTTGTTAGCTAATACATGTTATAATGTAACCATAAAGCTTAAAATATGATGAAAACTTAAGCCAAATATATAATAGCAAAAACCTCTTTTAGAGTTTTGATAGCTAATATACCTATATAATATAAACATAGTACTGCGTTTAAGATATGAATAAGCTTAAGTTACATATATAATAGCAAAAACTCTGTAGAGTTTGTTAGCTAATACATGTTATAAAATAGCCATATTGCTTAGAATATGATGACACTTAAACCCAATAGCAAAAACTCTTTAGAGTTTGTTAGCTAATATACTTATATGGTATAACATAGTACTAAGCTTAAGATATGAATAAGCTTAAGCTACCTATATAATAGCAAAACTCCGTAGAGTTTGTTAGCGAATATATATTTTTATAATATGAGTATAGTACTATGCTTAAGGTATAATTAACTTAAGCTACATGTATATAATAGCCAAAAACTCTGTAAAGTTTGTTAGCTAATGCATTTATCATGTTACCATAGTACTACTCTTAATAGATATGATTAACTTAAGGTAAATATATAATAACAAACTCTGTAGAGTTGTTAACTTATATATTGTATGATGTAATAATCATAGTACTGTGATGATAAAAGGAACTTAAGCAAAATAGCATGTAGCTATTTAGTACTGTTATAAGATAAGTAGAAAACTGTAAAATTGACTTATCTTCTCCGAGGAACTGTCAATTGTTGTGCGAGGACCATGGGATCGAATTGGTGGATACCTGAGATGTCCTCAGTGGTGATATCTCTCAGATAATGGTTGGCAACCACCATATCGGATCTCCAGAAATAAACCCTCCATTATTCCAAATAACATAGTGTAGATCAATTGTAGAAGTTAACGCTCTAATATCATGAGTATTAAAAGCTCATGGAGGGTCGGATTGGGTCCATCCGTCTTGTATGCACATAGTATGACAGTTCTGATCCAAACGGAGATATAGTACGTGAGACTTCATTCTGCCTAAGTTGATGATAGAGGAAATAATCTGTTGCATTTTCCCTTCCTGTTTGGTTCGGTGGAGATAAATTTACAGTGCTCTTGCTGGCCATCGTGATAGAATCATCGTATCATGGAGCCCAAGTATGTCATCCAGGCGTGTTCATAAACCTCACTTGTGAGGTGTTGGAGCACTATATTCAGATCCCCCAAGTTGGAGTGTGAAACTTCCGTTTTAATTCTCCAATCAGAAAGCTTAAGTAGGTTACTAACCATCTAGTTGTGTTAGTAGCTTGATGATGAAATTCAGCTGTAGTCTGAGACGCTGTGGATTTAGATCCACTTGTATCCCGTCGTCTAGGTAATTCGCTGCGAAGTCCTTGACGACGTAGGTTCACAACCAGGTGTGTCTGTCCTCGTGAACTTTATGAAAAATCGCCTGACTGCCGTGCCCTCGTCTTAACTTGACAGGGGAGGTCTCTAACCTGAAGAAAGCAGCCTAATCATGAAGGTTCAGGTTAACTGGACTGTAAGGAAGCTTGCTCGTTCACTGATATATAGTTGTCACTTGTGACGTAAGTCTTGCACTGTGAACTAAGATCGACCTCTACGTAGGGCGTTGTCCATCGCGGTCCAATCAGAAGAAGGCATTTTGATTCTGTATAATACCCGCGCTGTGATGTCACCGGTGTAGTAGGAAAAATGTAATTTTTTGGAGTAAAATTGATATTTTATACTTATCCTGACTCATGCTCTTTTGCTTGTCTTCTTCTTCTTGCGAACATAGTGGAACACTTGTATCTCCTTATTTGAAGCTCCCTTCAAAATAAAATCACTAATTGGTACTCACCACGAGTTGCTCCCCTTTGTTTCCCCTGGCGGGAAAGGTGTCGCCACCCTCTGGCCATGTGCTCCACTCTCTCCTGATTTTGCGAGCCCAACACTTGAACTTACAGGGAAATCCAAAGTGTTATGTGGGGAGGATGGGAGGGCTAACCTCATGAGTCAGGATAAGTATAAAATATCAATTTTACTCCAAAATTACATATTTTTTTCCTTATCCTGACTCATGCTCTTTGCTTGTAGCATCCTCACGGACACGAGGAGGTGGGAGTAACAGAATACTTTGGATTTATAATTAGTGATTTTGTATAGATATACTGTAATATCCCCTACGGGAACTTCATGAAGGCTTAGACTTAGGATGTTTGCTGTATTAAAAAACCATAGGTTACATAATGCCATTAAAGGGGAATTACATTATTAATATATTGAACAATACATATAATATATATATATATATAAGTGACTCTGATAGAGGCACTGAAACTGAACATATCATAGTATAAGCTTAAGGCTGAATAACTTAAGCTGAACATATATACATAGCCCTAAAACTCCGTAGAGTTATAAGCTAGATAAGTATGTATATAATACATATTAATCTTGTGAGGGTAATATTTAACGCCTACGAGGAACTGTCAGTTGCTGGCGAGGACCAGTGGTCCGAAATGGTGAATGCCAGAGACATCTTCTCTGTAGTGATGTCTCTCAGGTAGTGATCAGCAAATACCATGTTAGATTTCCAATAGCATCCTTCCATAATCGTGTTCAAGGAACAGTTGCCGTGAAGGGCGAGGGTGGAGGCCAATGCCCTGATCTCATGTGGATTTGATGCTGTTGGTGGGTCCAAGCCTGCTGCCTTGTAGGCACGGAGAATGACAGTCCTTATCCAAATAGATATTGTGGTCCGTGACACTTCTGTTTGATTTGTAGGCGATAAGGGGATGAATAAACGTTTGAGAAATCTTCTCCTTGTTTTGGATCGTCGTAAATAAACTTTGAGCGCTCTTACTGGACACAGTGATAAGTCTTGTGTATCTTGTGATCCGAGAATAGAGGATAGCGCCGGGATGTGGAATAACCTGTCTGGTTGACCTGGCAGTTGATTTTTAGCGATGAAATCCCATCTTAGTCCGAGGTGCTGTGTTATGATTGTCATCAAACTGTATCCTCTCGTAATCTAGAAGTGAATTTCAGACATTCTTGCTGCCGTGGCTAGAGATAGCAGAAAAAGTGTTTTCTGTGAGAGAAATTCAAAAGTTGTCGATTCCAAAGGTTCATAAACCTCACTCGTGAGGTGTTGTAACACTATATTCAGATCCCAAGCTGGAAGTGGAACTTCGCTTTTGGTCCTCCAATCGGAATGCTCGTAGTAAGGCCAGTAACTCTGGAGATCTTGTCAACTTGACACCCGTTCTCATGGTGATT